TTGTAAATATAAAAATTTTGTAATAACTGTGCTAGCCTTTGCTGAATCATAAATTAAAGCAGCACATAGTGATTTGTAATAACTGACGGACCATTAAAGCTCCTTTTTTTTACCTGAGCTGCAATGTGCTATAAACCTGATATGACAACATTAACTATTGCTTTACTATGGTTCATTCTGTAGATTAAAATTGATCACTTCTAATCTGCACCACAGAATAAACTTTTGGGAAAATTGATAATACATTTTTAGTAAAATGATAAAGCAACAAAAGCCTTGGAATTAAACAGTTCTACTGAGTTATGGCAGAAAGTGGAAGTGAAATATTTTTAAAGAATTTGTCTGCTAAGCCATGTTCACAGAAGACAGCCTAGGTGCCACTCTTATTTCTAGGGAAAAACAGGCTGTTGTCCAAAAGAAAAAAAAAGCAGAGTTGCCAGCCCTCAAGATCACCAATGCACAGCACTGCAAAGGAATCTGGGGGCCACAAACGTCACTATTATCACCCAATAGTGAAAATGTTGACATAACTTGATGAAAATCATCTTATCGCTTATGAGAAGTGTATATATGGTTATACAAAGTTTTCTCTACAAATATCTTTATAGCAATTTCATGCCCTTTGCATTGCAATAACATATACATCGAAATCATAACTGTCAAAATAGCTCCATTACCTCTTTCAGTATCATACAGATAAACAAATCTTTGCCAGTCGTAATCATTAAGAAGGGTTAGGATAGCTCCCTTAAGTGCTGGTCTCATCTGAATGACGAACTGTACATCTGCATCTGTTGGGAAGCTGGGAGTGATGAATGAAGTGTGGAGGGCTCCGCAAAAAGACGTCAAGGTGTTCATGGACATTTGATCATAGAACCCAAAGATGGCGTACACACCACGGGAAAACTGAGAGCAAACTGGAGGAAAAATGGCAATATGTAAGTAAGTAGGTTAAAAGTATAAAACTAAAGCAATAATGCAGTCTAATAGTTCACTTTGAAATTATTTAACTATTTGGCTCCTAGATAGCAAGATCATACAGAACAACTAGCATGGTCATTGAAATATAATAACATAGTTCAACAAAGGGAATCATATTGTCCCCCCCTCTATTGTACTGCGCTGAGCAAACCCTTTGGTGCTATATAAACTCGATGTAATGTAATACACCAAGAGCACATTATGTAGATCTAATCTTCACAGGTAAAATTCAACATATTGGTATTTCAGATTCAAATTACGTAGCTTACAAAATATGAAGTCAGACTAATCATTGTGGGATAATGCCATAGAGGACCCTGCAGTGTCAAAGGTTCTATCTCTTTCAATGCCTATAGGTTTACTAGGGCCTCAAGTACTAAATAATAGAAATAAAAAAAACACATTTAAATGGAAAGGAAATACTACACAATGACCCTGACATACTAGAGGAAAAGAGCATCTCCATTTTGCAAAGTTAATTTTCACTGTGCAGGGGGAATTTTCACTTAGCTTACTAAATGTTGTGAGAATCCCCTTTGGAAAGAATGTCCAATCACTTGCAGAGAAAAAAATGGATTTTTGCTTGCACTTGACTAGATGACTAGATGACTGAAATTAGCAAAGCATTCCCACATTCACTAAGCTAAGTGAAAATTACCCTTTCAATATGAACATACTCAGTTTATTTAGTAAGTCAGGGTCAATACTTTATTTCCTGTAGAGAAAGAAATGTGAATTTACAGTTACTAATTGAGGAAACCATTAGTTTTGATCTCATGGATACAGAACCAGCTGTCCTTTCTGAATCCTTTGTAGTTATTTCCAAGCTTATGCATATCCAGTTTAAAAACTCAAAAAGTCTGTTATTTCAGGGACACAAAACTCTATTTACCAAAAGATCCAACCAGAAGATATTTCCCAATTTTATGCTAAATGAGAACATCTACAGAGGTGTGACATTGACAGCGTCTCAATATAGCTACCTAATAGTGATGATTTCAGTTGACGACCATAGAGCCAAATTTCAAATATATGCTCTTCAAGTAATTTTTCTTTGCCTTCACTATGAAAACATATTTGTGGCTTCCCTTTCCACATATCTTGTATGAAAATGGTATGGTCATCACTCAGTAAATTAATAGTTCCTTACAGTTTCATTGGTGGAATCTTACATTCTAAAGATATATGATTGGATAATGAAACAAGGACAAACGTCTGCCAGCTCTAAGCCTTTGTCTACTTGGTATTTCTGTAAATTCATGCATGGTGAACCATTTAATACCTATATATGTAAACATTCATGTATTGGTTGAAATTGTAGTGTAAAATCGCATTTAAGTGAAACCTATAGTCACCTGTGTTATAAGTTACAGTGTTTCTTAAGGTAATGGGTTGCAGTGTGTGAACTGTAGGGCCACGTTTTTCTGATACAACATTTGGTTAGCCTGTCAATAGCAGATATACAGCATAAAACACTATTTAATGTAGCTATGTATCCGTTAATAAATTATCACATTCCCAGTAATTCATTGTGAATCTATAGCAGCTATTCTATAGAATGGCTGATCATATGCTACTAGAATCATAGATTGTACTATGAGCTCTCTTATGCGGGCCAAGGATTTGGCCTTTATGCTACAAATAAAACATATATATGTTTCAAGTTGTAATGATGTTTTTGCTAATTGTTGGTTCTGCCTGAAACTATATATCAGTTTAACAAGATTATTGCACATATTGAAAAAAGGTATACCAGATAAGCTGTGAACACTTGTCTATGTTGCTTCGGATTGTTGAATATGGTGTACAACTGGACGCATATTGTAACAGCGACTATGCCAAGTGTACTTGTATCATTGTAAAGTGTACTGTTTTGACCTTGCCTTGAAGCCTCAATAAAAACATGTATTGATGAATAAATTATTAAATGTATTTTTTAATGTAGCTCATGTAAGTGCCTGAATTTAACTTGTTATCAGCCTCTTGCAATCATTTGTGCAGCAGTACTCAAACTGGAAGAGGGAGCGACAGGATTGGCAGCAAGTCAGATGTGTTGTATGCAATTGTGCTGAAAAAGAACATGCTGATAGGAGGAGAGAGCATCATAAGCAGTGGCGCACCTTTATCAGTCTGGTGCTGCTCATTCCCTTTCCAGGAAGGACAGAGGATGCCAATGTGTGTGGGCACAAAGAAAACATCTACAGTTTTATCACTTTTGTATCCCTTTAAATGTGGTGCACATGCAGAACGCCTACTAATTTTGTCAGAAATCCAATAAGTTCCTAATTTTCTGTTAGGAGAATAAAGAGGCTGCTTTTGCTGTTCTGAAATTCCAAACAGTGTTGTTAGCCCTTCCTGCTGGACTACAAAATTCCTCTAACCCATTTATGTTAGAATTATTATTAATTTTACCCTCCCACACACACTGCTTGCTATTTCTTCTGCTGTATGTTTAACAACCAGTAATGCATGTGTTGCCACAGTGTATGCACGCATACACGTATATCTTTCCAACCAAAACAATGCCGCTACCTTGACTCCCGAGAGACTGCCCACACATTAATGTACCAAAGGCAAATCAGCTGCTCACTTTGCAAGTGAATTTGACCCAGGGCTTAGAGAATGTTTTGAGGTTTCACTTTGCAAAGAAAACCCAATCATGTGATTGGATGATGTGTGCAGAGAAAGGACTTTGGAAGGTGTAGTTTTGGGAGCCATGTCTATACCAATAGGAACTGATATAAGACACTCTGCTGATTCCTCCACACAGGAGCTTTCCCTACAAGAAATGTACAAACATGGCAGTGACAACACAAGGAATAATAAAAGCTGCTTAAAAAGGTGAAATGAAAATATGTATATACTGCATGGACATAATTTGGGGGAAAATTTGTGGGAGATTTGGGGAAAATTTGGGTCTTGCCTGAAGATATATTTTATACCCACAGAGATATCATTATTTAGTTATATTTATTGAATGAATACTTGTAGTCAATAAGAAACAAAAAATCACGTCTGACCTAGTGAAAGTTTAATTTTTTTTTCTCCCCTGCAGATATCCTCTTTAAAGATTAAAGAGGATTAAGAAGAGTTCTTGACATCTTTCTTACAAACATAAGGACAAATTGTACATAAGCATCATACAAATACATATACTGACTGGTTTAGTCTTGAAATGTAATTGAATGACCAAAACAGGTCTCTGTGTTTGGCCTCAAGGTCACCTAGGCAATTTGAAGCAAACACTGTCTGACTTATCTGATAAATTCCATCTTGCTTTGTTCCAAAAGCAATAAATGTTAAACATTTTGCTCCTGTGATTAAGAGAATAAATGACAAAAATGAAATTCTATTAACACAGAGTAATGATATGGACCATAGAACTGTACAATCATGCAATAAAAATTGTTTGGGAACAAGAAGGTGATGATTAAATTGAAGATAGATATTTTAATTTATTAAACTAATAAGTTGTCCGTGAAAGAATCATTAGTGAAGGTAAATTCTACAATATAAAATATTATTTTAAACAGACAACATGAATAATATGCAGGGAGCACAGTTTTTTTTTGTATATTTGAATCAAACTGTGCTTTAACATTACTTTCAGTTTCTATGTAAAATTTCTGCATTTATTAATCTCTGGAGTCTTTGTCATTATCATTCAAAAATAAATGTGTGCTGGATTTTGGGGATACAGAATTTCTCAGTTGATCCCCATTTGTGGTGATGGAGTGTCCACACAATGCTTTAACATGTATGATTAGATGATACAGGTATGCATGCTGATGTATCGGTTTTTAAGCTACAGTACTGTATATGTGACTATGCACAGCCTTACAATTGAAAGTGATAGAACAGATTCAAGCATTGCCCATAATAAATTGATGATGTAGAAGGGAACAGCTGAGCTAACATAAACACTTCTAAACTTTGTATGTGCTTTTTAAACATGGAGATTTTGTGCAAATGATCATTGATCTTTCCCTCTTCTCTAATAAAAGAAATGCAATTTCTGTTACATGTGTACATACTTCTGGGATAAAGATTGTGGTACATTTTATTGGTATGCAATATGATTGAAGATTGCTCACTCCGAAAGGTTTTAAGTTGCAGGTTTGTCTAGCTACTCTAAACCAGTGTTTCTCAACCTTTATTCAGTCAAGACACCCTTTAAAATTATGGACAGTCCCGAGGCACCCTTTAAAATTATGGACAGTCTTGAGGCACCCCATTCTAAAATGGGGTACCTCAAGACTGTCCATACTTTTAAAAGGGCACCACATTCTAAAATGCGAAAAACTATTCTAATAGTTTTATATAACGCAACAACCTCCACATTTTGTAGGACACCCAACATTAGAGGTGATTTATTCTTCCAAAGCAAATACACGTTTGCACACTGGTGCTGACTAGTATTCTGATGTTTCTCTTCTCCCTCAGTTTTTCTCCATCACTGAGCTAATGTGACCCCAGCACTGATGGAGAGGGGAAGGGGAAGACCAAACTAGGATGCTGTGCAGACAACTGACATCCTCCTTATCAACTGATGTCATTGGTTGTCAGGACACTAGTGGCTAGAAGATCATAATGGTGCACAATGAAAACCTGTGGCTTTGTATAAATAAAAGGCAGGCTTATTCCACCTGCTGGCTTGTAGGTACGTTTTGGGCAATTTTTAGACATTTTGCTAAGGCACCCCTTAAGAAACCTCAAGGCACCCTGGTTGAGAAAGGCTGCTCTAAACCAATAAATGGATTGCCAATACTGCTAATTTTCAGCAGGTATGCCATACATTCAGCTAAAACAAAGTTTTTCAAAACATCAGCTATGTAATGTGTACAGAAACTTTGTTTACGCTTCATGATAATCATTGTATACAAGCCATAGACTGAACAATAAATTCAGCCCAATTACTCATTTTAAAGTGAAAATACTGTCAATGCTACCTTTTGAATTGATTACTTATCATATAACAACTCTGTCATTACATGTCTGTTTCATTTAACAGAAAACTCCATATTTTTTGCATTGTAAATACATTAAATAAAGTTTTTATAATAAATGAGGTTTCTCTGCTTTGATCATTTATCATTGCTGATGTTATAAAGGCAGCAGTGATGGAATACAGAGCAGGAATACGGAACAATAGTTTCAAGCTTGAGGCATGTACTTTGGTGGCTCTTGAAAATAAATGATGGCTATCAAGTAGGCTTGCGGGGCACATACTCCAGAATATCCCCTGAAGGCTTTTTGAATTGACAGAGACTGCAGCTACATGTATACACATTCAAAATTGAGTAATTTCTCTTACAATGCTTTGCAAAGTGTGCCTGAGGATTTCTCCTATGGTGATCATTCATGGCTAATCAGTCCAGCATATCAGTGGAAGCAAAACTATTGCATTCCACTTCTATATACTAGTCTAATTCTTGGTTATCATAAAGTTGTATTACTAATTATTCAACATTTATAATATTCCAAAACATCAACAATCATAATTTGGGCATGTAAATACTGGTGATCACAGGGCTTTGTTGGAGGACAAAGGGCTCCGGTTAGTGTTTGGGTTAACATTTGGATAATTTGAGGGAAATTCAATAAGTCTGCTGCAATATCAACTTTGGCTATATAAAACACAGGTTATGTGGGATCAGAAAACAGGAATTCACTGTCACTGTTCTGACTTACCTCAACTGTCTTTAATGTATGTACAATAAGTGAATGGATTTTTAGCAACCTACCTAACATTTATGCATTGTGGCATCAGACCAAATTCTGTGCACAAATCAAATGTGCAATGCGTAGTACATCCCAGGGGCCACTTACAATGTGTACCTTCCTCTTATGTAACAGTAAACAAAATCCCTCATGGCTTCAAATTGTTACTTTACCTTACATATCCTCATTACTTGCTTTATCCTAATGACTTTATCCTAATGACTAAAAATTAGAACACTTTCTTCAGTTCCACATTTCATGCAATTTGCCCAATCAGCTCATGTAATCATCTTTAGGCTCAATGCACACTAGTGTTTTATTTAAGCTAAAAAAGCTGGAAAAAACACTGGTTAAAAAATGCTGGTAATAGCATTTTTAGTAGCGTTTAGTAGTGTTTAGGAGCATTTAGCAGCATTAGCATTTTATTAGCATTTAATTAGTGTTTTTACAGTACATGTAGAAAAAAAGCTAGAAAAGGGTTGTTAGAAATGTTTTAGAGGCGTTTAGCAACGTTTAGGAGCATTTAGTGTCTTTTTCTGCATGAAAAAAAACTATTTTGTTTTCTGCTCATAGACTCTGAAAATCAAAAAATGCTAACAGCCTAAAGTAGTGTGCATGAACACATAGGATAACACTATTTAGCTTTTAAGAGCAGAAAAAATGCTAATAACAGCTTCTAGGAGCTTAAACAAACGCTAGTGTGCATGGAGCCTTACAGTGTACAAATAATCCATGGATCAATGATTTCCACACTAAAAGCTTTTTTAAGGATTATTTATTTTCATACAAAAATATAGAAAGAAACTCCTTTCTCATTTTCCCTTAATCTTTTTAACACCTCAACAAACCTTGAGAAAGGTGATGAAGTGAAAACAGAAAAGGGGAAAAATGCTCTTTGCTGAAAGTACTGAGTCACAGCCAACTGTACTACCACTGCAGGCTGGGGGCAGTTTGAAAGTAGAAAATTAGAAGTATATAAAATTATTTAGAAATGTATGTTATATAATTTTGTCAGATATGGAGTTCCCATTTAAGGTTTAACCTGCCCTTTGAGTTATAAATGTTAGCACAAAATTATTGAATATACCCTGTTTGTTTCCATCTACCACATAATTATTACAACAAAAATAAAATCAGTGAACTACAAGCAGAAGCAGTACTTTAACTATTAGGCTTGTTGCACACGGCCTAAAATGAAGTACAGAATATGGGTGTACACTGTAAGTCCTAATGCACACGGAACATTTTTACAGCTGCTGTTTTTGTCTTTTGATGTTTTTTTTTTACAGCCAGTAAACTCCCCAGCATGTTATCCTATGTGCCCATTCACACATAGACTGTAATCAACCTTTTTAGGCAGGGGCATTTTTTTGCTGGAAAAAAACTCCAGAACTAGTGGGTTTCTAGAGGAGTTTTTTAGCTGTAAAAACACTGTAACGCTGAAAAACTTGGCAAAAATGCGGTAACTTGCGGCAAACCAGCATTTGTAGACTTTTTTTGCTAAATTTTTTTTTTTTTTTTTGGTAAAAAAAAACCTCTAAAAAATGAAAAATGCGAAAAAAGTCACTAAACACTAATACAAAAATGCTAAAAAATGCTGAAAAACTTGCGTTTTTAATGAGACTTTACACCGCTAATGTTACCAGCGTTATTAAAACGCCCAGTGTGCATGGAGCCTTAAAAGGAATGTATGCTGTTTTATATATATACAGTACGTCCTTTCATTATCATGACTAGGAAAAAATGTTTTTCAAAAAAATATTTTTAATACCTGTCATAGATTTACCCTGTTGTAAATGTTTATTTTTAAGATAGTTTATAACAATAATAGACTATTGTACAATATTAATCTTTGGTTAATGCAGAAAGTATAGAGTTTAACCACTTGCCCTCCAGAGCAGGGGCAGACTGACAACTCATGGGGCCCCCGGGCTATAGGGGATCTTGGGGCCCCTGTGTCCTTGCCCAAACTCAAAAAAAGCCTATGAAAAAGGTACCAGGGGCATCTCATGGGGCCCCCTACTGACCCCAGGCCCTCGGGCAGTGCCCGAGTTTCCAAATGGTCAGTCTGCCCCTGCTCCAGAGGATTTACCCCCCTTCCTGACCAGGCCATTTGTTGCGTTACTGCGCTGTGTTACTTTAACTGATAATTGCGCAGACATGCAACGCTGCACCCAAATGAAATTTACATACTTTTTCCCCCATGAATAGAGCTTTCTTTCAGTGGTATTTGATTGCCTGTGCATTTTTTATTTTTTGCGCTATAAAAAAGTCTGAAAATTTTTCAGAAAAAAAAACAATATTTTGGATTTTTTGCTATTAAACATGTCCATTAAAAAAAATTTAAAAAAATCAAATTTCATCATAAATTTAGGCTAAAATGTATTCTGCTACATGTCTTTGCTAAAAAAAAAAATCCCAATACATGTAAATTGCTTTGTTTACATGAAAGTTATAGCATTTTATTAGGACTGTGGGACTGCAGCGGGCATTCTGACACTGGGGGGAGCTGACTTGGTGTCACTGACATCCCCAGTGACACCAATATAGTAATCAGTGCTAATAAAAAAACTAATGGCATTAGACAGGAAGGGGTTAACATCTGGGGCGATCAAAGGGTTAACTGTGTGCTGTTTTACTGTGTGCTGTTTTTTTTTTTTTTTCAACTGTAAGCACACTGCTTTGTATGGCTTTGCTATGCAGAAGAAATACAAAGCAGTGTGCAGGAGCTGTTTATTGTTTACATACCGTTCTCTCTCCCCATTGGTAATGCTTGGCAATCACCAGGTGTCGGCGATTAATCACTGGCTGGGACCTGGTGATTGACAGCCGATGTCGCAAATAGCAGCCCGGGTCTGGAAATGCAAAATCACGTATGTACACACGTGATTTTGTGTACCCCTGTCGCCCTGTAGCAGTATATCTGCAGGAAAGCGGTTAAGATCCCATGCACACTTGAGGCATTTGAAGTGCAATTCCTGAAGTGATTCAAAACTTGACATCAAGAATCCCATTTTATTCAAAAGAGATTGTTCACATCTGAACATTTTGTTGCTTAAAGCTTGGCATTCAAATTTTGAAAAGGTATGTGAGCTTCTTTGGGGCGGTCACATGTTTTGGCCCCTATAAACTTCAGGAGAAGGAACAATGCTTCCATTCTTAAACATAATGTATGTTTAATGATGGAAGCATTGCATTCCTTCTCCTGTCTGTATGGCAATTAGCATAGGGGGATGGCCCTTGTGCAATATTTTGAATGACCCTGACCATAGGCTGATTAACACAAATGTTCAGTCCTATTTACCATCACAGTCTAAGCTGAATAGAGAAAATGGACACCTTTCCTTAAATAAAATGGAGATATGCAGGGAAAGTATTGGCGGAAGTGAGGTATAAATAGAAGGACTGAAGTCTGACATGTACATCCTTAGAAGAAGTCTTGATGATGAAACCGGTCATCTGGAAGTGCCACAGCAGCCATTTTGGAAGTGGTTACAGGCTTTTTTTACACTGAATGTTTGTAAGTGCATAGATTTTAATAAATATATGGTTTTATAAGGATTTACTGCACTATCAACTCTGTATGATATCTCTTGCATGGGAACCCTGGAAAGAAGCTGGAGTTAAGAAGGGGATTGTTAAAAGTGGAGGAGTTTGGTGGAAAGTGATTTGAA